TTTTGAAATGTAGTCTTGTAGATACAACGGTAGTTTTCTTTCTCGTTGCGATCTTCTTTGTTCTTCTGTTAATACTGGGTTGGGGAAGGAATTGGATTCAATGACAGGAACTTCTGATACATGAGGAACAGCTCGATCAGATTCAAAACTGTGATCTTGACCTGTAGATTCTTCACGACCAAATATTGAACTGTCCCCTGTTGGAGCCAAATGTTTTAAAGAAACCGTAACTTCCTTCCCATTTGCCCGTCGGATTAAAGCATATTCTGGATTTGCCTCAATCAGATCCACTTCTTCGACCAATGGACTGTACTTGGAAGTTCGTACATGACTCTTCATTAGTACCTTTCCTGGATTTGCTAACCAAGAAGGTATAGCTATTCCATTTGTCGAACAACGTGCATGGGAGAACATCCTTTCGTGAGGAGTGCAATTTATAGATGTACATAAAAGGGAACGTATGGCATGTAATGATTCTGGCAAAACTTCTTCCCATCGCGAAGTCTCTAATGCCTTATTCTTCATAGCCAAAGACATGGTTTTCCATAAAATTCCATTATACCGTTCGACAAGTCCGTTGCCCTGAGGGTTATATGGAGTAGATGAACTCGTAGCGATGCCTTGTGTATGAAGATAGTTAATGAGATCTTTCGAGAGAAATGATTGTTCCTCTGTCAGAATGAATATATGCAGGAGTCCCGAATATTGAGAAAAGATTGTAAAGGTTTGTTTTAATCGTAGCAGAGGTCATATCCCGACAGGGGTAGGCAAAAGGAAATCTTGTATATTCGTCAACAATAGTCAAAATATACGTATTCTTAGTGTTAGAAGGGACTGGTCCTTTAAAATCTACATTGAGCCTTTCGAATGGTCTTGTAGCTTTAATCAGATGATTTTCTTGAGATTTATAGAATCGAGGTTTCAATTCTGCGCAAACGGGACATGCAGAAGTGATTTGTTTAATTTCTTCTAAAGAAAAAGGTAGATTCTTTGATTTGATCCAGTGATACATTCTGGTAACTCCTGGATGACACAGAGATTTGTGTAAATTATACAATTCATCGTGATTTGTGGCTCCACAAATCCTCGATAACGCGTCAGCTACTTTGTTGAGAGAACCAGGACGATATGAGATATCAAAGCTATAACAAGACATCTCTAGTCTCCATCGCCAGAAGTTTTAACAGTTCTATTAGTCTTCTTGGAAAGGCATACTTTTGGATAATGTCCAGCTTTAGTACAGTTCGTACAGATAAAATCACGAGCTGGGCAAACAGAGCGCGGATGACGAGATCCTCCACAAAAGTAACATTTGTAAGTAGTACCAGAACGTGTTGAATAACATTGGTTATTAGATATTCCATCAGAATTTGATGTACTTGTGTACGTTTCTGAATTTTTAATTGCTCTTTCAATTGATCGAGCCTTTTCTTCTGCTTCATCTAGTTCAAGGGACTTGTTCTCTAAAAGTCTCTGTCGTATGTTAGATGAAAATAAACCTGCAATAAAGGCGTCTCGAATGTAATCTTGTTTGTTTTGTTCAGCAGACACCGCCTTAAAATGGCATTCCTTGGCTAACGACTTGAGAGCAGTCAAATACTGATCAATTGATTCTGTTGAGAGTTGTTTTCGAGTTGCAAGTTGATGTCTAGCATAAATCAAGTTTTTCGGTTTCACATAAAGGGCTTTAAGAATATCTATAGCGGCTTGGTATGTTTTACAATCGTTAATGTATTCAAATACGTTAGAAGATAAAAAATTTGACAGTACCTGCAACTGATCTTCGTCTTTCACTACATATTCGGATCTTTCAGTGAAGTTTTCGAATAGTCGAATCCAATGAAGCCATTCTTGTTGAGCCGTAGGACTATCAGGGTTTGAAGAAACCTTGTCTGGTTTAAAGAGCTTTTCCATTATTATTTTTTTTATTTGATTAAATTGTAATAAATTTACCATCAAACTTTAGGCTTTAATCAAATAAAAAATGTGACATTAATTAATCAAAGCTGTCTATATAATATTAGCACAATACAGAAGGGCAGTATCGTTACAACGATCTTCCAGAGCATCAACAATGAGAGAAAGTTGAGAAACTGCTTTAGTTGTTCAGTGGTTAGCTCTAAATCTGTATTGACAATCACTAAGGATTCGTGTTGAAGTAAGGAAATCGATAAGTCTATTTTTTATCAATATTTCTATTACTTTCCCGAGAACAGGCACAATAGGAATTGGGCGATAGTTATCTAAGCAATTTTTGTCACCTTTTTTAAACAGAGGAACAACCCTACTTGTTTTAAAGCACAGCGGAAATGTACCTTCAAGAAAGCAGTCATTAACTAAGTCGGTGAAATATTTACATATTATATCGATACAATTTTTTAGAATTTTACAGTTTAGGTTTAGGCATAATCACAGCTGCTTGATTGAGATAGCTTTTTAACTGTATCGATCACTTCGTTATATGTGACAGGTGCTAGAAAGAAGGAAGTTTCAGGAGACAGTGTGTTTTTCACATAAGTGTTGATATTGCTAGTGGAATCTAGCAGCGATTGAGCGATTTGGTTCCCAATGAACACAAAATGTATTTTTAATTCATTATGTGTCAAAGGAATAGCGGTATTTTTATATATAGTGGCGCGGTTTTTTAACGTTGTTTCCCTGGTAGGCCTACTCCACGATCTGTTATGACGGATTTTTGTGGGAAAATACTGCATTTACGGCATGATGATGATTGATTTTGAAGTTGATGTATAGGCTTACACCATAATATTACATGGACTGCTATTAGCCCTATGTTTTCAATACAAAATGGTTTGTCACGAATAGAGGGCACTGTAGTCGTGGGTATGTGAATCTCAGGGTAAACTAAAGTCGTATGAACACCACTCGGATCGCGTAAAGAGTAGCTTTTATGGAAACTGCGTAGTACGGGAAGCTTTAAATACTCTTGATTATCTTCTATACGTCCGCAAATAAGAACTGGTTTTTTTTTTGCCATATCTGGACAATTAATTAATTGACGTTTGTTAATTTATAGGTTGACAGCCTCAAATCGTGTCTCATCGGACAATTTCGGACGGACTCGTCTACCCTGAAACGTACATACCCAGGCATAATGTCCTTGACCATATTTTAGTTACAATTAGCGGTCCATGTACTGTATGGTCTAAGTGTATAGGTGATTTAAACTGTAGTTCTGATTTCTGTGTTCTGACTGTGTATACCGGGTGGTGCCTAGCGCGACGCAGCATAGGGATTTCAATGGTAATTTCTTTATAGTCAATTACTAGCTCCCCAAATTATTTTAGAGCAAAAGTCTAAATACGTTTTTTTAGAGAAAAAAATACTGCATCTGTTCATACTATTAATTATAACTTTCCGTTTTTCAAAACCGTAGAAATCGAAAAAATAAAAAGGTTCATTTTACAATAAATCAGATATGCCTTGGAATTACTTAAAAAACAGCGATCACGTTTAATTATTTGCCTTTGACGTTTATTAAATTTAATAATTTATACTTGTTTACAAATTAGTTAAATAACTGCAAGTGCAATAACGTTCTAAATGTCTGTCAAAACCATCAGGAAAACGACAATACAATCAACGTTTTGGCTACAGTAGCGGAACATCCGAATAGGTATAAGTTTAAGAACAATTCTTCCTCAAATCAATTTCTTTTTCTTCGATTATGTACTCTGGTTCCGGAAAATGATAAACAAATAGTATCTGATGCAGATGCAGTATTACATTCTCTAAAAAAATATTATATTACCCCATAGACGCTTTTTCTTGCGTCGCCGTCGGTTATTTGAAACAGAATTAAATATGAAAATCGTTCGACGTCAAACAACGATAACTTAGATGCGATGCGCTTCTAATTTTTGAAAGATTCCAAAGCAACATGATTTATAAAAATGTAATTTTTTATTTTGTCGATTTCTACGGTTTTGAAAAACGGAAAATTATAAGTAATAGTATGAGATGCAGTATTTTTTTCTCTAAAAAAACGTATTTAGACTTTTGCTCTAAAATAATTAGGGGAGCTAGTAATTGACTATAAAGAAATTACCATTGAAATCCCTATGCTACGTTGCGCTAGGCACCACCCTGCATACGTGGCATTGGTTTGTATATCATGCGGAATGTAAATGTATATGTTTGATAACACTTACAGTTGTCGAGAAGAATCCAAAAAACAAAAAATTTTGACCTTTGACCCTGAATAACTTGTTTAGCACACATGGGATCTATGGGGACTTTTGGCACTTTACACTAATGTACCCAAGGTCTCTACCAAAATTCAGCTCTGTTGGAGTTTTTGTTATTTGATTAGTATTTTTACGTCTATTTTGACCGGGCTAAATGGGGAAAAAGTAAAATAGAAAGTTAAGTTAGGCACGGTATAGGATATCTAAAAATGCGTTTAGACAATTTAATCGTATGAAATTTGGCGCTGGAAACAGCTGTCTTAAACGCTGCTTCGCTGAATATGGCTGAACGTGCCGAATTTTTATATTAGAAATTGCATGATTAGAAACGACAAGCTTAACTTGCATGTTATCTGCCAAAAAACGTTATTTAGTATAGATAAAATAAAGTAACATTTTCTATAGATAATCTGCACGTTAAGTTTAACTTTAGTGGTACATCACAGGGTTGAATGCTAATCCGTATATGAAGGAAATATTGTCTTGACTTAGCTTTGTCGATTTTGCATTTTGTTTGGTTGATACAGGTTCATGGTAAAAATGTAGCGTCATTTTATTTTCTGCATTCAGTCAGTGCAACATTCAATTAGTCTGTTATCTATGAGTTGTGGTTAAGCGCAAATCCAAAGACATTTGGATTTCGGCGTATATTGCCCGGCCGCGTTCGTGTACAACATTTGCCAGACCTTTGCCTTTATATTAGGGATTATATACACATTTCTCGATAACCGTGGTATAAGAAGTGCTTAGTAATATCATACATATATACAACAGGAGAAAGAGAATTTTGTAATCCATACTTTTTATTGTAAATAAAGTTAAAATGGCATACTTACAATCAAAATTACATGTTGATTGATGTATCTTGTTACATTGGTTGGAATGTCAAAAAAATTCAACAAACTAAATACAAAGCAATCTAATTCAGGTAACTGCCTTTAATCTTAACTAAAACTGCTCTCTTGCATGTTCTATACATTACTAATATCACATAATATACACTATTTGTAGAAAAGCTACGTTTAACAACTTTTATAAAATACAACATAAAGCACCCAACAAATAGGAATATTCTCTAAATTTGCTCACTAATTTTAGTAAAAATCACATGGCGCATTTGCAGCTATATACATAAACAATTTATAACCTAAATTAAGTGTATCAGATTATTTTCGAAATGAAAACGGTCGCCTTAACCAATGGAAGAGATTCACAGTTCGAGGGACCTACTAAACTAATCCACCTCTGTCAGCATTCCGAAGATGAGTTCTGTTTTAACAGCGTTAGCAGCTGCTCGACCACGTGGTGCGTTTGCGACAGGGCGATTTTTAAATCTTGCACCTCCACGCACAGCTGCTCAATTTGCTTGTTACTCTCTTCCACTTTATTCTGCAAGTTTATATTAAGCGGGTTCTCCGGAATGATATCGCTATTCTGATCTAGATTGTTGTTAAACCACTTTTTCCATGTCGCGCTGTTACTTCCGCTGTAAGATACTGTATTTCCGTAGTTCTTCCTCTGCCGGGCGATTTCGTAAGCTGCATTTAGAATATCTCTGGGTAGACGTTTTTCCCGCGGATTTAGCGGCTTCACGTTTAACACTACTCTATACGCCCTTGGCGAAACAAGAGCCGTTAAGTGAAGCAAATTTAATATGTACTTTGGAAGATATCCGTTGAATAACGCAAGTTCCATGTAAGAAATAAGCTTCGTCTGACGAACAAGTTTCGATAATCCGGCGGTTTTCTGCAAGCCTTGAATGTCGTGTACGGCGATACCGACAAGTAAATTCATTAGAATTACTGTTACGAAAAGTAAAAACAACACAAAAGCTACTTGTGCTGTAATCTCCAGGAGAAATGGCGGATCATCGGGATCATCGTCGACGAGTAAATCCAGACTGACTTCTCCGGTCATCATTACTAGCACGGTTATTAAGCCAATGAAAGGATTCGCGAATGTGCTCGAATCGGGAAATATGACACAGAAGCTTATACCGAATCCAATTAATAGACAGGAATATGCCAACAGTAACTTAGCAAATTCCCCCAAAACCTTAGTGTACATGGCAACGTAAGACCCGAACACGGGCAGCTGACCAATCATCAACATTAGGTTCGTCCAACCTAACAGCACTGCAAAGGCTCCAACGTGATTCTGCCACATGTACGTACGGTTCGTGTACACGAACGATATCACGAACACACTCATAATCACTAACCATTCGATGACATTCTCTGGGTAAGACAAATACTGCTTGATTGTGGGATAACCGACGAGGCCATAAATTTTGCGCAAAATTTCGCACGCCGTTATTCCTACCAGAACGAACCACTGCATTTCGATCACGAAAGGATTGCTACGTAGCATGTGCCCCATGATGGATTTCTTTTCGCACAATTCGATCACGTCCTTCGGGTGTGTGCTGTTCAAATTCTGCCCGTGATTGTAACAGTTATGCGCCAGTGCCGTCAGAACGTAAAGAGACAAACTCAAGACGAACACAAAGCAAAACAGCATTCTCGCGATGTAATACTTTCTAATTTTTTCCCACTTCAAATGCAAAAAGGCAGCACAAAGGGGATGTAAAAGAATTTCCTTCTGGCCTTCATCGACGAACGTATTCAGAAAACTGATCTCTCTGGGATGACAATGTTGCAAGATGCTGCGAAAGTCGACTCTCATTTCGACCTCGCGATTTGACGATTCCGGGTGATGGTGTAGAGTGATCGCGCTATCGAGTTTGTGTTGAATTACGGCCAAGGACGCCGGAGTCTTCCTCGTTATTATGCCGAGCGCGGTCATTCCGAATTTCGACTTGGCGGTGACGTCGGCACCGTGGAAGACTAAAATTTCGACACACTGCGACAGCTCGTTTAGAGCGGCAATGTGTAGGGGGGTGTAACCGTATTGGTCTTTTGTGTTAATGTCGGCTCCCCAGCTCACTAGAACTTCGATTATGTCATACGATCGTGCCGCCTTTCCGACGGCGGCGTGTAGAGGCGTTCTTCGGTCGTGGTCCCCGAGATTCGGGTCGGCGTTTCCTTTCCTCAGTAGTGCTTCCACGCATTCAACGGATTGGGAGCGAGCTGCCAGGTGTAGGGGCGTTTGTCCTCTGTGGTTGCGCACATTTGCATCGGCGCCTGTTGGAGAATATTTATATTATGTCAATTATGCATAGTCCAGTCAATGAAGCATTTCACTTTTTGATGGTACTTTCATTATACCCAGTAGAAGCAGTTCATTACCCCGTTACTTTACATAATACGAGAAAAAGCACAAACTGTGGGAAAAGCTGAAAATAGCAGATGGATATTTTTCCAACGTCATTAGACCCAACCGGCTTTGTGATACTCAAGTGACAATTGAGAAGCGCATACCCAGGAGGTATTAAAATTGCAACGGTCCTCGAACCGATTTTTTTTTAGCAAAAAGGTGCCCGCGCAATATATCCCTATAAGGAAATCTCTCCTGTGTATGGTGAAAAGTGTTTACCTCAAGCCACTACTATCTGTCTGGCCCTTCAAAAAACATCTTGGCGGGAAACATTTCAAGGGTAACAATGGAATTGCGCACGTCGTTAGACGGCATCCCAAACACTTTCATCTAGGGGGCATTGGAGAACTGATAAAAGAACGAGGTCGTGCCGGATAACTCGCATTGGTAAATTCGCCCCTGGAAGATTCGCGGGGAATTTGGCTCTTGTAACGCGGCGTATCCTACAAAAATAGGTTACAGATGGCTTTAAGAAGTGTTTGTTGCCCCCCCCCCCCGTGACGTTGGGTCAAATCAAGTAGCGCCAATAAACTACGGTCGTATTTTGGTTTGTCTATTTTTCCGCCACATTACATTTTTATTATACGAGGGCTGTGTAGGGTTCCTAACACGGGACCGTTGCCGCACGAGATGCTATGCTGGCAATACCGCCGTGTTCACAGGTTCCCCCACCTAGTAGAATTCGCTGCGGCGCTCAGTATCGCCCACAGAGCATCAACGGAAAGATAAGACCAAAAAAATTAGAAATAATAAACGCTGCAAGTGCTATTTCTTTAAGTGATAGGGCCATTAATATTGCATCTATTAATTTGTACGAGTAAAAAATAAGAGGAGAGAATATAACGGTGGTCGGAAATAGCATAACACGCGACGGAAGTCGTCATCATATTACTTCCTTTGCGTTGGTCAGTTATGTCGACTTGACTTATCATAACACAGAAGAGACGATGTCAGTTTTGTTTTATTACACCACTGCCAATAATGACGCGTTTCTCCCCACTCTTATAACTTCCTTTTTGTCCATTTCCGTCGCGACCCCTTTTAATGCAAGGTTCTCTTCTTTTATTTTTTACTCGTAGGTTAATTTACACACGGTTCAGAACCAGGGTGTATTTGGTTCAAATCATGGATATGCTTCGTACCATAGATCACATTGACGTAAGTGCGTATACTATTATTAAATGTTTACCAAGAAATGCTCACTTATGCCCGTTTGCACCGACAAATTTAAGGGGAGCGTAGCTTAAGCGTCCCTTAAAATCCATGGCAACGATTATTGAGACAATGGTTGCCATGGATTTTAAGGGACGCTTAACCTAAGCTCCGCTTAAATTTGTCGGTGCAAACGGGCATTAGTAACTAAGTATGTTAATGATCTAAACAGCGCATAAACATTCCGTAGTCGTTAAAAACAAAATTTACAGACTTCTGCACGGTGACGTGACGATCAGTTTCCATGATAGAGTAGATACTTGAGAAATTCTTGTAATAGATTCACAGATGGTAGCGCAATATGGCTGACCCTACAGTGACTTTATATAGACAGTGGCGATAACAGGGTATCTCGTTTTTATTGGTCGCCCGGTCCGGTCGCCATATTGGAGCTAATTCCAAACTGGCCAATAGAAAGCCTCCAAAACGACGCGGTACACTCCGTGCTGTAATTATACTGTTTTGACAGTGTCACCTGTGATTGTCCCGGCTTCACGTTACTAGTGGATACTTTGTTTCGTGTACTTGCTTTATTTTACGTTTGCCGTCTCCAGTTTTATATAAACTCGATTTTTAAAGACACATACAGCCGAGCATATAGCTTGGATTTACGATATTATAAGGTATGTAATTCGCTTAAAGTGTTTTTAGGTGTAAAACTGTGCCTAACCTTACTACTGGTAATTTATTCAAAAGCCCAAATACCTAATGAGTTAGATAGAAAACTGGTTAGCGAAGAAGCTTATCCGAAATTTAGCAGCAAATTCAATTATGGTTATGGATAACGCAATTGCGATCATAAATACACTTGAATTGGTTTAATGTTTAACATTGATGATTGCTGAAGCACAAGGAATATTGATCTCTTGTACACTGTGGACTAAATCAACGTATTTCGTCTTCAATTTAAGAGACTAAAGTAATAACTATTGTCCTGGAAGGAGAATCACGCGACAAAGGACAAGAAGTGACATTATACTTATTATACCGTTTTCCATATATCTGGGAATGAATTTGGGAGGCAGTGGTTTTCCCATATGTTGTTCTGCAAAGCTTTAAACGATCATTTCTGCGCCGTTAGTTTTGAACGGGAATCTTTATTTAAATGAAACTGACATTTATTATTCTACGGTCACAATTTGAGATGACAAGGTATATTGATCCTACAATCAATTTTTTAGCTCCAATATGGCGGATTATCATAAGTTGCCGCCACCTTGGTCGCAACTGTCCTTATAAAGTCACTGTAGCTGACCCTTAAGGGCGTCCGAGTTACTGAGTATACGCCTAGAGAACGTTATTGCAATGCCTTGGAAAAACTTAGAGCAGCCATCCAAAATCGCTGAAGAGGAAGACTGATCAAAGGTAAGGCTGCACGTCTCTCGCCAAACAACGGACTTAAATAATCAAATTTGGCTGGGATCTCCTGTAACATACCCGCTACAGCGCTGATCTCGCACCGAGTGATTGCCATTTGTTCCCAAAATGAAAGGAACAGTTGAATGGTCAACGCTTCGAGACGGACGAAGAGATGCAAGAAGCGGTCACCAAATTCTTCGATGGACAACAAAAACCCGTAGAAAAATCTCGCGATTATGTTGAGAAATAGGTAAAAGATGAGGATTTCCAATGGTTGTATTTTTCAGTTCAAATAAAAAATTTGGGATTTTTATTTTTTACACAATCCTCATAGTTCGAGTTCTGTTCCTCCCAAGCGTCCATTCGCCAGGACCCACTTCTGCCGTTTTGAACTACTTTTGGGGTAATAGTCCTACCGCCCTGAACTTTCAAACTTTGTCTTCATCCCGGGGCCTTCACAAGCATTATTTTCTCACATGGTATTTCGAAAACTTTGACATGCGCCGACCAATTCGTGTAAAATGCTGCATGCGCATGCCTCTAGCGGTAAATAGTAATTGGATACTATGGTTTGCGATATTAAAATTCTTTATTATTTATGACAATTCTTCGGGTAAGTCCTCGGGTAAGTGGTTCCGGTAATGACAAACTAAACATCGATGCATCACCATATTAGTTAACATTTAGGAGGAATTAATAATTAGTAATACCAAAAGTGCGTTCTCTTTTTGGATGCAATTAATTTGGAGTATTTTTACGGGTAAACTCTGGAATGGCGTATTTTTGTGAGCGAATTCACTTGCACCCTGAAGGAGAATTTTTCAAGAGCGGATATAACGGAAGCAAATAATCTGCAGCGAAAATAGCTGGGGGAGAGGGGGAATAATCCAGGAGCGAAATTCTCCCACTGTACTATAATATCTTAAACGACCTCAGGTGGAATTTCATTTAAGTTCATAGTGCAGCAAAACTAAGAAACCATACCGTATAGCGAAGACGCAAACGTGAAATTGTCGAGTACACGAGAAGAAGAGAGTAGCCTTGCTTTCCAAGAAAATTAAAATGTCATGGCGTTGTACAGGTATTTTCATCGTAGAGGTTGCGAAATCACAGACATTTTTCAAGATCATTTTTTACGTAAAAATACAATTGCGTAATTTGTTTTATAACGTTATCGTAGCTTTATGGATCATTAGGGAATTGTACTGCTTAACTAGCTGTAAGCCTCAAGATTTACTAACAGTTCCCTAGATAATATCTATTATCATGAAATAGGTACAATTTTTCTACAGAATCGCCAATTCTACAATGTGTATTAGTAAAATAATGCTCCTTGACGGAAGACACTGGTTAATTATCTTGTTTGCCTCATTATAGCTCGACAACATTTTAGGTACGTATGTAGATGTAAAAATGGCCAAAAACTGAGTATGTCATCCTAATAAAGCAAAGGTATGATGAAAAATTGTTCACAACTCTCTGAATTTTGGGAAATGTCTAATTTGTTTTCCACAGTTCGCATCGTCCAATTCTGTGATTTTAGAAGGAACGACACACTAAGATTCAAAATTGCGAGCGACGTTCCGAAAGTAAGTGTCATTGTTTTGAAAGAGTAAGTGGTACACCAGATGAAACAAAGGCCCGTATGAATAAAAGAAAGCAAATGGTTATACTTGCAAAATTCAAAGTAAATACTCGTAACTGCCCCTTCATACTGGTCTGTTTAGCATGGTTTAGCTGCGCTGCACTGCGTCCTGTCCTTCTGCTTAGAAGCGCTGCTAAGTCGCCCAGTGCGAAGGAGCACTTACGAGTATTTACTTTGAATTTTGCAAGTATAAGCATTTGCTTACTTTTATTCATACGGGCCAAAGAGTCGCCATAATCTTTGGTAGTTCAATGAAGAAAGAAGCGCGAGCGGCGGAGGGATGACGCATGCGCAGAGCACCAACGAGAGGGGAAAGCACAGCTGACCGACGTGTCCGATCGTTCGGTAATGTGCAATGCTACTGTGACACTCTTGCCAAACCTAGGTCTGCCATTTGGCGAAAGAGAGCAGAACTCTTGAGTGAAACTGTTCTGTTCTTCGACGACAATGCAAGCAATACTTACACATGATATGGGAAGTATATGTAGGTATACTCCCACTGGCGACTTTTAAAATTGACATACTGGAGGTATAAGAGCAGCATAAGTGGTACTCTTGAGAAACCGAAAACGTCGCAGATGCTCAGAAGGGAGCCTGGCGATCAGAGAAGTACCCTAACCTTCCAGTTTATGAAGGTCGTTTTGGAAGAGTTCCAGACAACTTCATGGATGATGTCTCCATGTATAAATTTTGTGTGATGATGTCTGACAAAAGTACCTTGCGGAGACTGATCATTTGTCAGAGAAGGATACATTGTAAAAGGAGTTAAAAAAAACCTTCTTACCTCGTGGAAATTCGTCACATTTTTTTTGAATGACCACTTGAGCTCAATCCGGAGATTTGCCCATTCTTCGCGAAGCTCTTCAAATGTCTTTTCTCTTCTCGTTTTGCTTCTAATCCTCCAGTGTGAGGACGTTCGCCTACTCACCGATGATGTATTTGGTCATCATGGGAAACAAGAACGGATTTTTATCTGCGAGAGGCCCGACCTCTTTTAAAATGCGCCACATAGAACCCTATCCCTGGGTCCATATATGATAATAGTTCTACAGAGACGATAGAGATTGAAAGTAAAAAATAACCATCGAATGGAGGGGATTTCTTTGAGGGGCAGTCGAAGCTTTGGTCGAGTGTTCGATCCCACATGAACAATACTTCCAGGGTTGCCTCACTGGGACGGTTACTTTTTTGGTTGCTAATTACTTTAAAGTTAGATGATCCCAAGCGTCGACGTGGAGATATCACTCTTAAATTGCGAAAAATTTACTCTCACGCCAGCGCCATAGCTAAACAACTGTAGCAGAGAGGGGTCGTCAATAAGAGCGGCCGAAATTGGCGCATGGGATACGGGAAGCAATAATTTGTATAGTTTCTCCGCGAAGAGCCGTCGTCAGAGGTGCTTCTACTCTATCCTCTGCCTTGGAGAGGAAGTTGTTGAGACTACCAGATTCATGAGAAATATACGTATGCACTTTTTGAATTGTTTCAGTCCGTCCGATTTACTTCGGCTATGGAGAGTTACAAAGTGAATGCGAAGGGCGGGTCTTTGGGAACAAACGCATCCTGAAGCAGAGAGAAACATCTCAACCATCCTAATACACACAGAAGGGGGTTCCATTCAGCAAACCAAACCAGTAAGCATTTGTTAAGTGTCAGCCTTATTGGACATCATTTTGTCAGAACTTTGGAACACACTTGATAGATCTACCCACCATCTTTAACCATCACTCACTCAAGTTAAATGCTGAAACAATTACAGCTTACTCGAAACAAAAAACACAGCAATACTGCTGGTTTACTGCGCATTGATTACTATTAACGAAGCACTAAATATCGGCTTGGAATAGAGCTTTCTTTAAGAAAGCATGAAGTTAGCCCAAACTGACTAGCAGAAATCGCACTTACGATTATATTAGGTCAAATTGGAGGCTGGTTCGAGAAAACGTGAAGTTAATCTGAAGAAATTCTTTAATAATCGTTCCGCTTTTAGAGCTTCTATGAAACTCTACAGGTCTAAGTGTGCTAGGCACACTTAATTTAGCCCCGGACGTATCTGGAACAAACTCCAGGGAAGCGGAAACATTTACGCTCCTCAGCCGCCTACTATTACCCGCCTAGAAATAAACTCCAGGTACCCAATTTCAGAGGTGGAGTGCACTCAATGGACGAGAAAGTGCCAAAGTTGGTCTGATGGGACCTCGAATCAGTTTGTAGTCTACTTCCCAAGCCGCTAGACCTCACTCTTCGTCAAACAATTCTTTTACAGGATTAATTTTGAGTACTAAAGCTGAACACTAACGACCGCCTGGCATAGAATTGGGGACCAATTTGAGTTTGGTTAGAGTAAGCGTAAAGTTAGTCATCATGAAGACAGCAAGAAGCATGTGTTCTTCATGGATTCAACAGTAGACAAATATTGTATGACAAACAGAGATCCAAACGAAACGGAGAACTAAGTCACAAAGTTTACCTAAAGGTTATCGCCCATGTGACCCTGGGTTTCTATTGTGGAAACCGGATACAGAAAGCCCCAAATGATGGACTAGTAAATCTTTGCTATGTCAATTCTTTCTCCACAGCGACTATTCGCAACAACCCCTGTCCCGGTTGACCCAATAAGACTGTTCCTCGGCCATATCTAGGGAACCGTCCGTCGTATGACTTAGGGGTAAAAAAATTATTGGGTAAATCGGTTGTGAAGAATCGCTGGAAAATATGTTCAAGTTCTAAAAATGACCAACAGAGGGCGTAACTGCCATCTTAAATTTTAAAATTGCATTTTCTTTAAATTTCGGATAATAAACTAAACATTCTGTTTTCACATTTTTAAAGAGAACCAGTTTATCTATCATTTTGGTAAAAACAAAAACTCAGTTATTTCAAAAACAAAGATGGCGTGAGGCGTTCAATTGTTTTTGTAATAACCTGCTTTAACTTCTTAACCGTTTGACCGATTGTAACAAATTTGGTATCGTTGAAAAGAGCATTGCTTGGGCAACAAGAATCAACAATCAACAATATAGTTAATTTAGTTGAATCCTTCTCCGGCAGGAGGCTAGTTTTGACACTATGACTCAAAATCCTAAAAAAATGAAAAAAATCAAATGGAATGATATTACTTTTTCTAAAGAAAAAGTAGCCAAATTACACCCAAAGAGCGCAGTGAAAACCGTTTTTCAAAATCTCGTTCCTAACCTCAAATATTGGGAGAATAAATTGTATCTTATTTGACGTATTTCCGGTATTTTTCGATGGCGCGAAAGATTGTTTGGAAAAGGACCCTACACTTTTAGGTAGGCCTTGGAAAATTAAACAAATGAAACACGATGCATTATAAAATAATAACAGCCATACTTTGTAAATTATTCTGCTGTGTTTACATTCAGAAAGTGCAGTTTTTTGAATTTCTTCTTTTCTATAATGCCGATTTCTAATCAAGAAGCATTAAATATGTTGGCGGGGATGGTTCGTGGTTGATTCGGATAACGCAAATAGAAGATACGGGCAGCGATGGTCGCATTTTGAAAATACTCAAAATATATCGCCAGCATATTAAATGCTTCTTGGTTAGAAATAGAAAAAAAAGGACTTTCTGAATGTAAACACAGCAGAATAATTTAAAATTACGGCTGCTATTATTTTATAATGCATCATGTTTCATTTGTTTAATTTAAGGCCAACCTAAAAGTGTAGGGTGCTTTTCTTTCGCGCCATCGACAATACCGGAAATACGTAAAAAGTAAATTTAAGATACAATTTAAGCATTTTAATTAATTAATTAATTAATCTGTCTCCCAATATTTGAGGTTAGGAACGAGATTTTGAAAAACGGTTTTCACTGGCCTCTTTGGATGTTATTTGGCTACTTTTTCATAAAGAAAAAGTCATATAATTCCAGGTATCATTCCATTTGATTTTTTTCATTTTTTTAGGATTTTGGGTCATAACTAGCCCCCTGGCGGAGAAGAATTCAACTAAATTAACTATATTTTGATTGATTTTCATTGCCCAAGGAATGCTCTTTTCAACCATACCAAATTTGTTAAAATCGGTCAAACGGTTAAGAAGTTAAAGCAGGTTATTGCAAACACAATTGAACGGGGCACACCATCTTTGTTTGTGAAATAACTGAGTTTTTGTTTTTACGAAAATGATAGATAAACTGGTTCTCTTTAAAAATGTGAAAAAAAATTATTTAGTTTATTATGCGAAATTTAAAGAAAATGCAATTTTAAAATTTAAAATGGCAGTTACGCCCTCTGTTGGTAATTTTTAGAACTTTTATTTTCCAGAGATTCTTCATGACCGATTTACCCGATTTTTTTTTACCCCTAAGTCATATGACGAACGGTTCTCGAGATATGGCCGAGGACCAGTCTTATTGTGTCACCCGATACATACAAGTATGTAGCAAACCACTGACGCTCCGAGCTATCCCATTGTCCAACGAAGTTTCACTACCCTGCCAAGCGAGTACCTTTATGATTTAATTGAAAATGGTTATTTTTGAAATGTGAGTAAGTGATTAAGCCTCATTGACTGGACTGTCGTTAAAACCGCACGTACCTTTCTGTAGTAGCAACTCGACACAGTCGGCGTACCCTCCCTCAGCTGCCAAGTGTAAAGCCGTCAATTCCTTTTCCTTAGTTTTGGCATTGACATTTAATCCCTTAGTCTCAAACATAATCTTGAGGCAGTGAACGTGGCCCAAATCGGCGGCCAGATGAATGGGCGACATTCCGGTATATTCGATCTGACCGGTGTCTGCGCCCTCCGCGATCAGCAGTCGTACGCAGGCGACGGCGTTTGCCCTCACGGCGCAATGTAAGACGCTCTCTTGGCAATTGGCCGGATTGGACGTGAGCGCCGACACGCGTGCGCCGTTGTTCAGGAGAATCATTGCGGTATCGGGACTGTCTCCAAATGCCGCACAGTGTAAAGGGCTGTAGCACTTAAAGCAGGCGTTAACATCGGCCCCCTTCGAAAGCAAAAACTGCGTACCGGCAAGGCAACCGCTAAATGCGGCCAGATGCAGGGCTGTCAGGCCTTGATGGGGCTCGGCGTACAGTAATTGCGCACCTATCGATAAAAGCCCGTCGAGCAAGTCCCAACGTTTTAGTAGGGCGCACCATAAAAATGCGATATTTATTTCCGATTTGGAGGCCGACTTGAATGCTTCAACGATGTTATCCTGAGTCGTGACTTTATTTTCGATATCGTCCAGAAGTTGGTGCCTTCCTGAACATGTCTTCATATGCTCCATCAAATTCATTTTAATTGTTTCTAGGCAGATTTGTACCGTTAAGTCGCTGCTCGACGTCGACTCCTCGAAGCTCTCGTAAATGTGATCCGAGGGTGGCGAGGGTCCGCACTGTACGTACTCGAAATCTTCCGAAGGATACTCTTCCTCGAGCATCTCCTCGGGGTCCATCTTGCCCGGTCGCCGCCAGTGAAGCAGCGATCGGTTGTGCTGATTCTTGTAGAGCGGAAAGTTTTCCATTTCCGTATTGACGCTGATCGAGCGTCTAAGTTTTGGTTGGCCTTGCGAATCTCGAAATCCGAAGTTGTCCATTATTTAAATTTGACGGCTTTATCTGAAAATGCGTTATAATATAGTATGGTCCCGGGGAGAGTAATAGACGCAACGCTTACAGCAATAAATTAGACAGGAATTAAGTCGTAATGTTTTAATCAACATTTGCACAGTTTCACTAATAAATCTCTCACATATCTAAATTAGTACATTATTAGCAGCAGTAAAGTGCGAGACTCGTAAAAACCTAAATTTGCGACAAGAACTTATTTTAACATTTTTGCATAGAGTTAACCAATCGAAAAAGCAATAGAAGGATTTGACATAAGATCAAATGTATGGTGACCCCAACAATACTATAGATAAATTTAAATATTCACAATAATAATTTGTCCTTTGCCACATCGCCTGTGTTTGCCAGTTATCACAGAAACGTAAGGCTGATCCGAAATTGTAAAAAGTGTATAGGGTCACCGCAATATCTCTCATCTCATTTTTTGCGAGATAATAAAAATTTGTTAAATATAATTTTAAGGGCGAAAATCCGTCCTATTATAAAACGGCTAACACAAACGAGCCCAACGGTGATATCTTAGCAACCTTTGCCTAGCAATTGAAATTATTAAATAAATGCATGTTTTCCTGCATTTGACAAACTGAAATCTAATGGAACTGGGCGAGGTCAATCAATTAATTAACAGTAATTATAAATGACCAGTATCTTATAAATATTTAAACAGAAAAAGTCAGCATTGAAAATGAGTGTTTTTATTTGTGATACGAGTAGGTAGGTACTCTAAAACAGTAAATACCGCACGCCACTGGATCTACACAACTTCTTTAAACGCATTGTACAGTGGAACATTCAACTTATAAACGGCTATGCGCTTATAAACACTTCGCTTCGCTCATGCATTGGGAGTCAAGAGGGTGGTTTCAACGGCGCGCACGATTACCATCTTTATAAGTATCTATCTTTATTCATAGCACAGCGATGAACGATAAACTTAGTGGGCTGGGAAGTTACACTACTTTCCCCCGATTCCTCTTATAGATGATAGGATCCAATGTATTGCTCGAAATGAAACAAATTGTACACACAAATTGAGAAAAGTATCATGATTTTATAATCACGAACCGCGTATGATTATATTTTAAGGTCAAGATAAGTCGCAGTTCTAATCTAACATATCTAATCTAATTCTAATCGGATATCGGATATTCAACATGAAAAACCCATTTAATTTTCGCTTTCAATAATGAGAAAGTTATCCATAGAACCCCAGTCAATTTGGAACACCATATACAGGGTGTCTCATGGTAGGCGTTCGTTAGAGGTGTTCATGAACAGAAAAAAAACTGCTAAAGAATTCTACATTTTTGAAGTCCAGCGTTACTCAAGGTTTTCTTTCAGTTTAAAATATTTTCAAGGTCATGATTTCATTTGGATTTCGGACACTTTTTTGACGGAAATACACGTTTTGAAGCACCAGGAATCCGAATCAAACAAAATCTCGATGTCGGTCTGTCGGTACGTATGTACTCTCATTTCCGGGTAAACGGCTGAACCGATTTGAACCAAATTTTGTACACATATTCTTAGATATAAAAGGAAGAGCTGGTCAGAATCTCCCATGCGCAAGCGTGTTAAAGTTAAATTTCCGGCTAAATAGCTGAACCGATTAGAACCAACCACGCACGCGCAAAAGTAACTTTCTCATTTATGGAACGATTTTACCGAAATTTGCGGATTGGGAACGATTGCGGTAAATACGAACAATAGTGGAAGTTTTAAACGCGCGAAATTAAATTACGTGGCCCTAATAACTCTAGAAGAATAAACTTATTGAATTTCTACGCACGTCTGAAGCGGGGTTGATTGGGTACATTTGCCCTCGGCTCACCTAATTTTGAGAGACCGCAAACTTTAACTGCCGATCACGGACCTAGGAATTTGTGTGGATTTTCCTTCTCAAGAGTTGAATCAATTGTTTGGATCATTCAGTACCTACTGCGAGATCGAACGCGCAAGGCATATAGCCATTGGTATTGCTGCATAATAAATTAGGGTGTTGCAAATTTAAATTTTTATCAGTTAAATAGTAAGGGAGAACTTTAAAGATTCGGTCATTTACCCTAACAGGTTTAAAAAATTAAAAAAGTTAAATTCTATAAAATTATTTCATGTATGGACCCATCTTGAGGAAAGTATTTTTTCCAATGAATGTATTATTAGACAACGAGAATCCTACAGATTGGTTCAATTTAATATGACGATTGTAAATCGCTAGTAAAGAGATTTGGTCAACAAAATTTTAAGTTTAGTAAAAATGTGGCCAACTACGGACAAACTCGGTACTTGAATTTGACGTCAAATTGTAACGAAGAACTTGTTTCCTTACAGAAATTATACCAAAATTAATGAACGCACCGTACTGGAAGCTAATGAACACCCGGTACTTCGACGAACTAAAGCGGGCGATTCCTGAAGAGAAATTGTAGCTTCCGGAAGTATGTATTTCTTTTCTAGGAGTTGAAATTAGAAAGTAAAAGCAATTGTTTTCATTTGTAGCGCCGTTTTAGCCACCGATAAGGACCCCGAGATGCCGTAACTAATTTGCCGTTTGTAACCGTTCCCGTGGAGATATTTAAATTATCTTTACAGCATCTGAAAGATCTCTCCGATTGGAAGAGAGAAAATTAATATGTTGTGCTCCGTTAATTGATTATTAAGGTTTGGATTTAGAGAGTATAGGCAACTAGTGATGCACATGTAATTCAATGGGGCGTGCATTGCCTCTGAACTTCATTCACCATTCCATAAGCAAGGGGTGTATATGATCGGAAAAATATGCATTAGGTAGATAGATGTACATAGCATAGTTTCCATACAATATAAACTGATATTTTGTCCATTAATATATGTTTAAAAAATCCAGAAAACATGCGTCAAAAGAGTTCATAGTTTAGGAATTAATTGCAAAAATTATGGAGCATTTTAAGCAATACGGATGTATGGGATCGGTAGCGTGAATACTTATCTATATTTTGGCAATTCATGTGAAGCTCAAAAGTTTTCATAAAAAAAAGTGGTGAATGAAGTTCTGAAAAATGGGCATGTAAACTGGAGAAATGGAAATAAACTACGCAGCTGTGACTAATATCGCGGTCAACAGTGTAGCTTCTTTCTCATAGAGGGTGCCACCAAGAGTTTTAGGAAGTCAGTAAAAAATACGATAAAGATATGAAATAGGTAAGCGCTTTTATCTTGCGATGGAGTTGTTCTTACTTTTTAACTAGGCTAGTACTAGTACTGTGTAATGGGGATAATAAAAGACCAAAAATTTAAGAGCAAAAAAAACTAGCAGGCTATGTAAGTTGCCTATGCTAAATCATTTAGCGATTCTCTTTCAAGGTTGAACAGAGCGTGAGTGTAATAGAATTTGCTGACAGCAAGAAAAAGATCGTTCACTGGTAGGTATATTATTATTTTGTCAACTACTTGCTTCGAAATTTATTTGGTTTCTCTTTCCTATTCATTGTAAAAGGTACCTCCTCTACCTATCGTTTTATGAAATAAATAATAGAAATGGGGATAGGTAACATTCCTTTACAACAAATATCAAAATTTTACGTAATTTTTAGAACAAAAGGCTGTTGTATATTGTTGTTGATGTCTGGCAAGATGTGACCTTGTGTGGGTGTTTATTTGTAATGCGATTTGTTTGACCGTCTTCCTTATTCTTTATCTTTGCTTATTGCAGATTAAAATACCGTAATTTATAATCCATACCTTGTTGCAAATTAAATTTTTTGAACTTCAATAGTTCCATTGAATAAAGCTCTTTATTCAATGATAGTACCTATTACATATTAGCATTGAATAATAAATCTGATTTATTATTCAATGATATTAGTATTAGTTTAGTCAGTTTAGTGTAATGTGTAATAATTGACCTATACAGGGTGATTCAAATTCAAAGGCCACCATGGGGATCTCGGGAACTGTAAGAGATAGGTAGAGGTAGTTTACATTTGACAAAGTTACCCTTGATGGTAACATCATCTATTTTTAATAAGAAATAACATTAATTTGTAAAAACACAAGAAACTACTTACGTACGTTACTTAAGACAAAGGCAAAAAAGATATTTTACAAGCATTAAAAAAATTGATGTGTAGGTACATTTTTGAAATCAGAAAAAAATTCTCTATCAAATGACACAAAAAGTAAAAATTACTTCCATAAGAAACAAAGTTGATGATAGTTAACCGGAGACGAAACGTCAAACTTCAAATTTAAAAGTAGCATCTTGTAGAGGGAAAAAAGTGGCCATAATAATGTGTCATTTATTATTAAATATCTTTGTAAACAACTATTAACTTCAGTAAAAAACAAAAACGATTTTCAAAATCTCGTTTTTTCCGGATATCTCCGAAAGTAGTCAGAATTTTCAGTTTCAAAACTGTTTTTGTTAAGCATCAAAAAACACAACTTTGCCAAATTTACCACCTACCTATCTCTTACAGTTCCCGAGATGCCCATGGTGCAGTGCCGGATTTAGGGTTTCTGCCGCTGTGGGCAAACATTTTTTGCCGCCCTTGACATATCACTATATCACCATTATTACAAGGTGGGAAAAGTAAGGCATTCATTGGCTATATTTGCAATGCAATGAATGTACTAACAGATTTTATTTTTGCTTCATTTCATTTACCGATTCACCGTTTACCTAAAAAATTTGAACGCATTTTAATTTTTATGTTTTTCTCCAAATTTGCCGCCCTTACAATTTTGCCGCTGTGGGCAATTGCCCACGTTTGCCCCTTATATAAATACGGCACTGCCATGGTGGCCCTCGAATTTGAATCAGCCTGTATATTACTAATTTACAAAAGACCATCCCTCGAATGTAAGACATGGGGAACAAATGTATATTTAGGTATAAACGGCTAAAAAATTTAAAAAAAATCGGTAGATATACCGTATGTCCCCGGATTGACCTTTACAAGAAGAAAAACTTTTACTATACTTTTTGACAAAAATACATTCTCCATAAAAGCTTTTGCTTGTTCTAATTCGAAATTTCCCTACCGTTTCAGAGAAAAATACAAAAAAAACGAAAATATGGTTGAATTTTTTCCAAGTCCTAAAAGTCAAAACGCGTCTCTACTGTAATAACACTTCGTTAGTTACAAAGTCTTCGTTACCTGTTATTTGAATAGGCACTAGGATCGTTTTATAAGTATAACACACTTCGTAATGACATTGAATAAAAACCTCTTTATTCAATGGTAACAATGAAAAAGAATTGAATTTCCAAAGGTGTTTTCTTTAAAATGTCGGAATCAAGAGTTTTACTGAAGGCCCTTCCAAACAAAAACCCCTGTCGCCACTTGTGAACCAATTTTACGATCTTAATTTTGAAAGTCCCCCATGCCAATAATTACGCGATTTTTACTTCATACGTTAAAAGCGGTTCATTATTCTCCTCAAGTTATGTGTGGTAGAGCGCTAATTATAATTTTGTTAACCTAGCAGTCTGTAAGGAGCCGTGAACGACCTTGCGTTTGTGTTTTGTATTTTCTTGTCGTGTGGTTATGCAAATCAAATTGCATTTTTTTAAAAGCTCCCTCTGTGTTGTTTGGGGCCCACTTAAAGAGAGTATAATGATTTAAATATTTGTATAGAAAACTGCTGTAGTTACGCTATTCATTATTAGGTACCAGCACATTCTAACGAAAAAAACTTTGTCCTTTACTATGGGTACTTCTCTTTTCAGGCAATCCCAGCCTTAAACCCATTTTAGTGTTTCAATGTTAACGAAAACGAGCATTAAAGGTAAACGTTCACTGAAACGGAGCGGACGCGTCGAACTTACTGGAGCAAATATTGTTTAAATGATATTAAATGAAGATTCGCTCATTTGGACGTAACGGGCAGTTACAATACGTGCAATGGAAGTAATAGTATTTTATGGCCCGCCCGCTTCGTCCCAATGAAAGCGTAACTTAAAGCTGAGATTAACCCGAAGTTCCATGTAACAATGTGCATTACTGGAATTTGGAAATTTCAGTCCGGCCATGAGAGTTATTGGTGAAATAGCCGCCAGTATTTTATCAGATTTTCTGATTCATGGGAGACCGCTTTCTGCGATTGAAGCACCTGTGGCATTCGTTTTTTTAAAATATGATACTCTGTATATTATTTCCTGATCGATGAAGAATTGTATGATGCATCGATTTGCTATAACTGTGCCTAAATGTATTTCTAATGGCTATCTTGTTAATCCGTGTTTTGTGTGAAAAGCCGATTGACTCTAAAAGTCCTATCTAGTAAGCTTTGATATTCCTAGGGATTGAAACAATGCTGTTGATTTTACATCAAAGCTCCACAGATTCATGTGGTACACAGTCCGAGACATATATCTATTGGTGAAGTCGAAGCGAATATCTTGAAAACGTTGGTGATGGTGGTGGTGGACAAAACCTCTGTCAAAACTTTCAGTGCAATATCTGCAGAACGGAGTGTCGGAGGGAGGTACACTCAAAGAGCGTAACAATCTAGACGAGACGCATCTACTTCGTCATGTAAGAACTTAATTGCGAATATCTGGAAAAGGAAGGTACTCACAAAGGGAAAATCCAATTTCGGAGAATTTCTCCAAAGGTTCGATTCTTCTTGCATGATATAACGTAGAGTTTGAATGTATGCCAGGCAGCCTTTAGATATTCATGCGTAAAGAGCCCCTTCCCCATTAATCATCTACCAAGAAAGTTAACATCGATAAATATAGCATGATACTTCCTTATAACCCAACCATTGTTGTTATACATTTATAAATTTTTAAAATGGTCCAGTAGGCATTGGTTTCATTGAGATAATCTCTTGTTTTTATTGGTTTTGACAGTTCTTTAGGAACACCCAGTATACTTACAGTTGTTTCTTCTCAAAATCGCTTTTAAATATAAAATTTATAGATTAACAAAAAAAATCTACTTGAAACCGATATAGACCGTTATAGCGATTTGATGCATAATAACATTCTGAAAGCGACCATCAAATAATACACAGATACAAATGATGTAAAACGTCAGCATACATTTTGACATGTCCAAAAAAACGCCGATTGCAATAGCTCAAACTAGACAGCTAAAAATGGGTAAAAGGTGCACTATTAAAAATAAGGCTACAAGGCTTATACGATCTTGAAAGTTTTTTAAACCGGAAAAGAATCTTGAACAACTTTGAACTTTAGATGAAATCTCGAAATATCTTGAAATAGTATGAGAGTAATAGAGTTCGAAATATAGTGTGTTCAAGATAAGAGGGTCGTCTCAATATCTTTTTGTTTGGCGAGATACGAAAAATTTATCATATATAATTTTATATGTAACATTACGATCTATCCCTAGATCTATCCGATCGCGTATTGAAACTTCCGGTAACATTTCCGGTTTAACAGAAATTGGAAGAAACATTTGTTTTTCAAATGCAATACCCATGTTTTATTAAAAAAAGAGCAATCGCATTTCGCTGTACGACAGCATAACGGCTTTATGGTTCAGTGGTAGAGCGTTGGACTATAAATCCGGAGGTCGGGTGTTCGAACCTCGGTTGAGGTGAATTTTTCATCTGTGACAGAGATGGGAATTACCTTAGACCAGTTTCGAGCATTCTGCCGGCTACTCCGAATTAGGTTTTCCTGCAGTTTTCCTAATTCGTAAGGTAAATACCGGAGTAGTATAGAACAACTTAAGAACTTCTGCAGAGGCACCTCTAAAAAGCATTATGCGGGTCACTCTGTAATTGGGCGCAAGCCTGTTGAGGGCACAGAACAAGAGATGGATAATAAATAATAATAATAAAATATGCATATGATTGAGATACAAAAAAAATGGAGAAATTCGCCATACAATGTTTCAATGTTTGGAAAACCTGGTTTCATGATTGATTCATGAAATCAAAATATCGTTGAAAATATTTTAATCCTTCATTAACGTTCCGTTTTGAAGAGTTACTTTGGCGCGATACGATCTCTCTGTGTAACAAACACAATGGACACCGCGCATCCTGACAGCACACGGTATACCATAACTTTTCTAAATATTAGATCGAATCACACATGAAATTATATTTGACAAATTTTTCGTATTTCACCTTAAAAAAAAAGAGATATTAAGGTGAGCCTCTTATCTCCAACACACTGTATATGGAAGCTTTAAAACTAGAAACCGAAATTGAAACGAAATATAGGATTTATGTTTTAGAAGGGAATATAAATAAAAATCATATACGTTGTGGCCCGCTTCAAACATAGAAAAAAAGAAACGATTTCGACAAAATCCAAGCAGTTTCTTAGGGCGTAGAAATTTTAATTAACTGATAAAATTTGATTGTTTACTAATGCTTATTCTGATTTTCATCTCACGCTCATTTGAAAACATGCAGGATATCACAGCAATAAATTGCCGTTATTAAAATTTTGTTTGAACTTTCGAAAGACCCTTTTTTGGGAATCCCCAATATGCCAACAATGAAATTGCTTGTTCGAATTCGTAATATAACACGTTCTGGTTATACAACTCAAAACCATTTATTTTAGTTTTAAGACTCCTTTGATAGCTTTATTTGTTTAGAAGTTATCAGCCATTGCCACTGTTGGAATTGCTGTAGAGGGAGCGAAAAATGAGGTTCAGATCTCATCTCGTACCAAGTTTGGAAAACAACCGCACTTGAAGTAGGTACTATGTAAACTACCAAACGGTTACACGAAGCAAACATTGAATTATCAAAGATGACATTCGCAACAAAAAGGCACTAATAAAAATTACCTTAAAAGTGTTGAACTGATGCAGGGTAGGTACCAGTAAATTCCATGAGACATTATGGAAGACTGTTGCCGATAGCACTTTTGAATACAAAATGAATTGGGACTGAACAACGTGTACAAAGTACTCCGATAAGGATTGAACGTTCCCATTACGACATAAAACAAAGTATCATCTTGAGCACCTGTGAAATTGGCGCTTGATCTAAACAAGGCAAAATCCAAAAAAAGAACCTCAGACCGGTTTAACGCGTCCGAGGAAAAACCGATAGCGGAATAATGGCCACCTTCGATCCCATGTTTATGGGAATAAACTTTTGAGATGGTGTAAGCATGTTCGTCACAGGCATTGTAAGCGAGATAAATAACTTTTATTAATTCAGTAAATGCCGGAAATTAAATTACATAAAAGTGATGCATTTTGATTAGGGGCGACCTTGAATATAATTCGATTAACCTTTCGAACGGAACATCGAATTCGAATTATCTCTCCATTGAGGAGGCTAACCAAACACACCCATCGCGCAGTGATAGGATATGTAAATAAATGCACTGTTTCGTAAGCGCGCTGTGGATAGGATCGACGAAGATGCTAAAACGGCGAACCCACGTTCAATTAGCGTTTGAAAGGAAACGGTTATTTAATTATATTATCGCTAATTTTCGCCTTATTTTTCCTTATTTGCGGATAACTGAAGCAAACCTTGACAAAATCATAAATTTATGACCTAAGTACTACATAAATTGTTCATCCTATCGTCACAACTATTTTTGGTTAAAATCTACTGAACAGTCGAAGGGGATTGTACAATTTGGTTCTTTCTTATCGAGATATTTTTTCCAGAACAAATTTACCTTGGTCCTCAGATTCAAGGTTTGAAGTTTACACATTTTTCAATACCGTTTTTCTCGAAAAGTGGACGAGCAAAGCGTGCCAGCGTCTAGCCCACTGACTGTAGACATTAAACATTGCAAAAAGCGCACACAAAAGTTTATTTTGGTATGTATGTTGTATATTAACCAATAGAGTGAAACCAATTTTGCAGCTTCAAAAATACATGATATACCCTGAGGGCACTCGAAAAACCTCCCGCCGTTTTTCCAGTTTTTGAATCAAAATTCGCAAAAAGAAGGTTTTTAAAGGAGAGTAAATCCCCTGCAATTTGAGCCCAACCCCAAATTCTGTAATGTTAATAGTTCCCAAGATACCATCCAAGTCCAAAATTTAAATATTTAATCTTTTGACACGGTTTAAATAATAATTCCATTTTGGTACTCCTGAGATATGAAAATACTGAGCAATAATGTAGAACCAAAACGAAGTATGAGGACCCAATAGTTTTCTTGTTATTTTAAATTAAAGCCACATAATTGCACTACAACTTTTTCATTCACAACTTCCCGGTTGAATTACTATTTCAACCGATATTTTGCCCAAAACTTAATTTTTTGACTTTTTGGAAAACATTGCTAATTTTTGGAGTGCTTGTTTCTCTAGAAAATTAGAATATGATTCTTTCTCTTTTTATTGGTTGATAACCTAACAACATCAGAATAATGTTTTAGAGTATAAAATCAAAGGTCTATTAGGAGTCTTTAAAAGTCTAACTTGCAAATCGATGAGTTTTTGCCCTGGTTTTTGCTTTTGATGGTTTTTTTATCTGAAGCTTGGGGAGCCTTTGACACCATGCGAGACGTAAGGGTATCTAAGTGCATTTTAGAATTTTGAAAAGCTTTCTAAGAACGGCTAAAAGTCGCCAACAGTTTCTAAGGTCTTCCAAAGGAGTCCAAGAGTCCATAAGAGTCATCATTCGAGAGACTTCATGTGTCTCCTAAAGGTTTTGAAAGCCTTTAATTGGGTTTTAGAGTGTTTGAGAGCCTTTCAAAATCGTTACTGCGCTTGTTTGCTGTGTTATGAGTCTTCACAAATTTAAGTCGTCAATACCGTCTCCAAGAGCTTCCCAATGCTTTCTGAAAACGGATAGTTTGAAGCGACTACTCCAGAAATCCCGATAGACATCCAGGCGCCATGAAAGATTAGTCATCGGCGATAAAGAACGAAGGCGGATGTGACGTAAGTAATCTTTTCTAGAAATGTGACGTTTGTTCGAGAACATTCTGAAGCGTCCTTGAGCACTCGAGAACATTCTAGAAAGAATGTTTTTTTGCTATACACGGTGTCCATCTTTCGAGTGCCACTATGGGGATCTCACTTATCTTAAGAGATAGAAAGTTGGTTAAATGGGGGGCAAAGTAGCAAATTTCCGTGCTGAATATGAATCTGAAAAGAAATTTGAAATATCTTCAATACTTTTGAAGATATCACAAAAAAAAGAAAATTTCTGATTTTCGTTTTTAATTTTTTTATGATAAACTAGTCGTAGTAGACATTTCTAATTAGCACATTATTCGGACACTTTTTAATGGAGATTTCAAATATGGCAACCTGTTTTTAATTACGTTTCAGATGACGGAGAAACACGTGGCAACTTTAGTTTTTCTTATGGACGCCATATTGAATTTTGACATTTTGGGATTACGTCTTTTTTTCTCTTTACAACGATATATCACACATAGTGGTTCAGTATCACATTTTTCCTAAAAATACAATTTTTCTTGAGAAGAGTGCTTTGGAAAAACAAAACGTTCTTTTGTTGTCAACAAAAGCTTGACAGTTTGATCCATCTGTCTGGTTGCAGCGTTGTCAGAGAAGTAGACATTCGATTTTCATCTCAACCGCTTGCAAAATTGCCTGCTCATATTAATTGGGTCTATCATCATATTGCTGCCTACATCTTTTAAAAGAACCATATTCGACCAAGTTTTTATGCAGCTAAGAAAAATACCTCAAACTAGGTTGTTGCCCCTCTGGATAAAGCTGCAAGTATGTTGCAGCAGTCATGTGGGCATTTCGATGAGAAGTGTAGTAAATTTGGATCATATCTCTTTGATCTGCACTTGAAAAAGGCATTTTCGCATTACAACTAGCATAAACCTAAATGACAGTACATGAAATAAGTCAACCTTTTGTTCACAACAAAAGAACGTTTTGTTTTTCCAAAGCACTCTTCTCAAAAAATTAAAAATTGTATTTTTAGGAAAAATGTGATACTGAACCACCATGTGTGATATATCGTTGTAAAGAGAAAAAAAGACGTAATCTCAAAATGTGAAAATTCAAAATGGCGCCCATAAGAGAAACTAAAGTTGCCACATGTTTCTCCGTCATCTGGAGAGTTATTAAATACAGGATGCCATATTTGAAATCTCCATTACTAAGTGTCCGAATAATGTGTTAATTAGAAATGTCTACTACGATTAGTTTATCATAAAAAAAATAAAAACGAAAATCAGAAATTTTTGTTTTTTTGAGATATCTTCAAAACTATTGAAGATATTTGAAATGTTTTTTCAGATTCTATTCAGCACGAAAATTGGCAACTTTGCCCCCATTTAACCAACTTTCTATCTCTTAAGATAAGTGAGATCCCCATAGTGGCACTCGAAAAATGGACACCGTGTATAAGCAAATGATGCCCTTGAGTTATATTATAAATTGTAAGTGATAAACAACAAAATTAATCCATTTTTAACACTGTTGTAAATTTATTATTATTTAGCTGTTATAAATAACGTACGTGATTAAATTTACGTTACAAGTTTTTGATTCTCTCCTTTTTTCAGAACCTCGAAACGATCTTTGTCTTTAAGAGTCTCTAAGAGTCCTTGGAAGCATTTCAGTATGTTTAATAGTCTTTAAAGCTCTAATCTTAAAGTTAAAGATCCTTTTTGACACTGACAGGATCTTTGAAAGTCGCCAACACTTTCCAAGGTCTTCTAAACATTCGTACATACAAATCGTTAAGTCATTAAAAGTCTGCACGAGTTTCCAAAGCATTTCAAGGTATTCCAGAGGATTTAAGAGCCTTTAATTAGATTAGTACGACTGCGAAAGTCCTTAAGGGCATTTATGGCTGTTTAAATGTCACTAAATGTCTCGAAGAATCTGAAAAGGTCTCCAAGAGTGTCAAAAAATCTTCAAAAGTCCTCAAGAATCTTTTAGATACTTAGAAATTTTCATTTTTTTTAAAAACCGAGACTGATAAATTTCGTGAATGTTTGAGAACGTTGAAGATCCTTAAAGGGTTGTTAACCTTTGAGAATAAAAATGCACCAAAAATACTGTCACAAAAATTCAGTGGGTCCCAAAGAAAAGGGCACCACGGAAATCTCCCCACACCATCCTTGGACAGCGGATTGGGCATTTTGTTGGACGATGCTGCCACTGTTATAATCCAAGCACATTCTGAATGTCAGTTTTTATCAGGGTTTTTATTCTTCATTTAACGATTAAAGATAACCTATGATCGATGAAAGAATATGCAGGTCTTGTGTTTTAGCAATACGAGAAAAGGGAGGTGGGTCTGTTTGAGCGATAATCGATTTTTACATAAATACTGATTGCGTTCTTACGTGCACTTTTTCGTGATAAATTAATAATAGACGATGCCATTTTGATGTATTTTAAGGTACATGCAATTTATCATTTTACGAGTTGTTCGATGTGTTTTTGTACTAAATTCTTATTTTCCGTTTGTATTTATTATGTCACTTGTATCGCGTTTAATTAATTTGTTTAACTGCATCTGAGTTTTATTCAATTCTCTTCTCGAGTATGTCTCACGTCTCGACACATAAAAGAATCGCCATAGTAGAACACAACATAGGAGTCCTATTCGTACCACCTAGGCCGGTCGTTCGACATTTTGACATGAATGTTACATGGCTCTGCGTATAATCTATCTCCAGAGTTGCCTACTGTCAGTACAGGGTAAGTCAAAATTGCAGTGCTGGGTCGGAGACCCCCAAGATCATTACAAAATCATAACCACACGTCCTTTTGTCTTCCGTCCATTCTCCATTTCGGTGATCACTCTGTAGATTGAACACCCGATATTTAGAAGCCAAGTTGGACGCTTCGTTACGAAAAGTGTCCTACCGAAAGTATTTGTGTTAGTTCAAAGAGTTGAAGATAGAAGCTAAAGGTAATTAATTTAATTTCTAGAGTTGTGCTTCGGTCGCTGTACAGTAAATAAAAGCTGCAATTAATTCGCCGTTAGCAACCGTTCCCGTCAAGATATTTCAATTATCTTTGTTGCGTTCTGAAGCTCTTTAGAAGTCGAAGGTGGATTAATATCGAGATTAATATTTTAGAATTTCAGCCCGTTATGTAATTACTTAGATGACTTTGGTTTCCTATGTTAATTTAAAAAGAGCCTTAAAATTGCAAGGTCTTGCAGGATTACGCCGAGTAATTACAATTATTAACAATGAGCCTTACTACCGACTTTAGAAATTTCACTCCTGCCAATTAAATAAGTGCAAATAACAGTAGCTAAATAAATGTGTTGCAAAAACGTTATCAAAATCAGACGTGTGAGATGTTCCTGGGTGCGCTCTAATTTTTCCAGTTGTTTGTAAGTTATCCCCGATCATGACCAAAAGTCGAGAAATAAATTAAAGAACTTTTAATTTTTGGATGTTGATAACCGAATACGCTGTGTGGCTTGGAGAAACCGTCGTTCCCCCCATGGCATAGCCGAATTTTATAAAAGGTAATGCCGTTGTTTAGAGGGATTTTTGTTTTGCCTTTTGCATCTTCGTCAGCTACGTTTTGTAACTACAGAATTTCTGAGCTTTTCTGTAAATTTATTTTGCATCCATACCGTTTATTTTTACTTTTACATTAAATTTACCGCAGCGTACCTACAACTTTTGCTTTTTCTTGCACAGTATTTTCTACAGCTCCGTTTAATTGCAAGGTAAGCCTTTTGTTACTTTCTGTTCCGTTAATTATAAGGGGAGGGGGGATCCTGTATCGGTTTCCTTCGTTTTCTTCTCCGTAGACATCGCTACCGAATCTGATTATTTACTGTTCCCGCTTAGGGAAATTTCTGTGCGGTTTAATTTTGTTTTAGCATTCACCAGCTCGCCCTTTAGAATTCATGGAGTTGTCGTTTACTTCGATTTAATTCGAATATTACTTTTTCGATTTTGTATATGGGTGAGTGGTCCTGGAATACGGTCCAGACTGTTCAAATGCGTGTGAAGACGTGAGGCCCCAGAAGTCGTGGGAGATGGGGAAATTAGCTATATTTAGAGAACAATTTTACAAGGGCCATATTCGTCGATATAAGTAGCGAATTACAGATTGACTAAATTTATATATGTCAATGAATCTGATTGCGAACGGGATGGGATGGGTGTCAATCAAAAAGAAAAGTAGTGGGAAGTAGGTTGGAGAGAGCTGTTATAGGGAATGCGCGTTGAACCGTAGGCGAAGTTAGATCACCCACCTGTAAATTAGCGAATGGAGGTTCTTATATTTTGTGTTAAAGAAGAAAATGTTGTTTTTTGTCTGGTAAAACAACTAAATTATTGCGTACCTAAATTTATGTACAGAAATTTTTAATTTTTCTTAGGTTAAATTCTCCAAATTGTTCGCATACTTGTAGTACTATTCTTCTACGAATACAAAACCAACTCGGTATTTTTAGTCGAGTGATCTCATGGAATTTCATGTTGTTGCGGTTTTCCTTGTAATAACATTGTTGTTTGTTTTAAATATTCCATGATACAAAGAAATGTATACATACAAGCTGATGACCGTGTGTTGCTCTACGACTTCTTTGTCAACCCATGCTTTACAATTATAATAATTATTTTATAGCAACTCTGTAATTATTGATGATTTATGTGATTGTTTTCCGTTTCACACGCAATAAAAAAAATTAAAATAGTTCAAGATGTGCGTACCAAAGTACGGAACTTCCCAGCTTGTCGACTTCGCAATGTCTCTAATTTTGACGTTTTTTTATCAAAACCAACAAACCTTAACCACAATACCACTTTTTTTTATCTGTCGGGAAACGAAATTCGCATTGCATTGCAAAACGAAATTTACCTATACTCGGGGAAATCTCCGGCCTTGCATGCGTAACGTGGGAGCTCCTTTGTCGTTTTGGAAATTTCGGCGCATCTGATTAATTGATCTTTTCTATGAATCCGTACTTTAGATCAGGAATGAGGCCACGCTAATTATATAGTTTTCGCTCGAATGAGTTTTAAGAGAGGCGTCTCTTTTTATTTAATTACGCTTGACCTTGTTTATTAACGCCCAATGTTTGCTAACATCGAAAAACCCGTTCTTCTCATGGTGCGTCATCCATGAAGAATTTCTGAAGAAATAGTGGACCACGACGAAATTAGATGTTTTGAGTTTGTTTACTCGTACGCGGTTTAATTAATTCGAAAGGAAATGCATAAACAGTCACCTCCTCGTCACTCATGAATAATGTCCTTGTTTCGATGCTATTGTCATGATCATATCATGATGTTCAGTATAGAATATTTTTTGTAAACTAAAAAAAAGAATGTACCTCACTTCCTTAAATTTTAATTTTTTTATTGTTCCAGCACAAACATCTCTTCTTTATCCCTCTACTATCATATAATGGGTTGGGTCAGAATGAAGGAAACAATAAAGTGATCAAGTTTGTATGTTGGAATGATGTGGAAAATTATGATCTGACGTTCTAGAACCAGATTTCTGAAAAAATGGGATAACCGTTTCCTGTTCCCAAAAATTGAATTGGTGCCGAAGAGATCAAATTATATATTCTTGAATTATGGTGGGACAAAAAAATCAAACATGGCATTGATATATAAAAAACAAAAATCTTCTAGATACGTCACCCTCCAATCAGCATATAGGTAGCTAATATAATATCATGAAAAGAATGCGTCACATCCGATAATTTCATCTTTCTTTTGTTAAATGGGTGCCATATTGAATTTTTACATAGGTAGTTAAAAAAAGTTTTTCACAACAACGATACTAATGCAGTTCCCACTCGATCCGGGACACCCTGCCCTGCATATTGTTGCGTTTTTAGCGCATTTCCACAAAAATAAAAAAAAAATGCGCTATTGTGGCCACTTTGTCCGTCCGTCCGTCCGCTAACTTTGCGACGCTACTAGTTTTTTATCTTAAGAGCTATTGTTCTACTTTTTCGCTATTTGGTTCGTTATGGTGTCGAGTCTTGTACCAAGGAAGGAATTTTTTCTGTACCGCTTACAAAAAAAGGTATTGTAAAAAAAACAAAAAACCGTTTTTTACATGTTCCATAATTTTACACTTTTGCCGTTTATTAACGATCCTAGAGATCGTTTATAATTTTCCATTGCTATCTGTCGCCTGCCGGTTGGTCTGTCCGTCTGTTCCTTTGTCTGTCTGTCCATCTATCTGTCCGTGTGAACGATAACTTTGTTTAGAAATGTTCGATCGCTTTTACATCTCCGTTAGTCATGAACTGAATTGCATGAAATTCAATATGGGCATAGCTTTAGCCATATAATACGCAATGCCAAAAGTTGAATCGAATCGATTCAAAATTCACAGTGCCCTTTTCGCATCTCGACCATTAATAAACCGAATTGCAAACTTTTTTACTT